TGTCCACAAGTCAGCTCTTTCTATCTCACTAGTAAACAGTGCATAACATCAGAGTGCTTGGGAAAAAATAGTTTTTCTTATGAATAGGCAGGGTTAACATGGATTATAATGCTAGCAATAGGCCAACAACATTCTACAGTACACTGTCACTTCATTTGGCACCAGGAGTAATCCTAGTATTTTGAGGTTTTTGTAAAAACCTTTTTGTTAAAGCTGACTACTGCAAAGAGTGAAAAATGATGTTGATGGGGCAAGATGCATACAAATCTCCCGTTCTTCTGAGAGTTCTGACCTCTGATCCTGAGTATCGGTAAATACCCTCTCAGTGGGCCTTTTCAATATTTGTAGTGTCCAGAGAATCACAGACAGAAAAAACTCAGCTGTGGGTGGTGATTCCACATGGATTCGTATTCCTGTAAATTTCAGTGTTCATTGCATGGAACCAAGAGCATGTGTTTTTCCACGCTGATTATTCTGTTTGTTTGGGAGTTTTTTACATAAATTGGTTAAAAAACCCCACTGAGTGGTTTTTTACACTTTGTGGTTGAAGAATGTGTTGGTTTTGGCTAGGGTAGAGTCGATTTTCTTCACAGAATCACCAAATCAACTAGGTTGGAAAAGATCTCTGAGATCATCAAGTCCGACCTTTGAACCAACACCACCTTGCCTACTAAACCATGGCACTAAGTGCCACATCCAGTCTCATCTTAAATACCTCCAGGGACAGTGAATCCACCACCTCCCTGGGCAGCCCATTCCAATGTCTGATCACTCTCTGTAAAGATCTTCTTCCTAATGTCCAACCTAAACCTCCCCTGGCACAGCTTAAGCCTGTGCCCTCTTGTCCTGCTACTGGTTGCCTGGGAGAAGAGACGAATGCCCACCTGGCTACACCCTCCTTTCAGGGAGTTGTAGAGAGTCATGAGGTCTCACCTGAGCCTCCTCTTCTCCAGGCTGAACAACTCCAGCTCCCTTAAGCCTCTCCCCAGAAGACTTGTGTTCGAATCCCTTCACCAGCCTCATTGCTCTTCTCTGGACCTGCTCTAATGCCTCAATATCCTTCCTGAACTGAAAGGCCCAGAACTGGACACAGCACTTGAGGTGTGGCCTCACCAGTGCTGAGTACAGAGGCAGAATTATTTCTCTGATTCTGCTGGCCACACTGTTTCTGATCCGGGCAAGGATGCCATTGGCCTTCTTGGCCACACATTCCAAGTGGGTGGCCCTAGCAGCCTAGTGGAGCCATCTGGGTGCTCAAAAGAACTGGAGCCACTGATCACACAGGGCCCTCTCTTCCCTCTAAGGTCCCCACCAAACACACTCTGCACCCACTCACTCCTACAAGCCTTGTGAGCATTGATTGCTACTGTACTTTACAGTGGCTAGTACTGGGCTGTGTGGATTTGTGCTGGAAACAGTGTTGAGATGTTTCTGTTAACACTGAGCAGTGTTTACCCAGTCGCAAGGTCTTTTCCTCTTTTCATACTCCTACAATGGTGATAAGACTGGGGGTACCTGGAAAGATGTGAGGAGACATATTTGGCACAGCTGATTCCAACTGACCAAAGAGATATCCCTGACCGTATTGTATCATGCTCAGTATATAAAGTGTGGGGAAGAAGCAGGAAGCAGGGGGACACTTTTGGAGTGATGGTGTCTGTCTTCCCAAGTAACTGATATGCACAATGGAGCCCTGCTTTCCTGGGGGTGGCTGAACAAGGGAAGTGGTGAATGAATTTATTGTTTTGCTTCATTTTCATGCACACCTTTTGCTTTCTCCATTAAACTGTTTTTATCCCAACTCATGAGTTTTCTAGCTTTTACCATTTTCATTCTCCTTCCAGTCCTGCTGGTGGGGGAGAGAGCAAACAGTTGTGTGGTGCTCTGTTGCCAACTGGAGTTAAACCACAACAAAAACCAGAAGCATAAAAAGAAGTTTTGAAAAGCTCTGCGATTTTGTTCTACCTGCAGTGTGTTTTGCTTCATCTGTGGCTTTGTCTAGAATTCTATGTTAAACCCGTCATTCCAATCATCGTCTTTCATATCTCACTGTAGTCCAAGTTACTAGAGAGATTACCTCACTTCATCTCCTTATGGTATGGTGTGAAAGCTACATCCCACTTCATTAGTAAAAATACATATCAGCTGTATGAGGCAGATAGACTGTTCATGCTGCCAGTCAAATTAATTTGCCTCTCTAGAGTAGTATAAAAGCAAACCTTGATGTCTTCTGTACAAAATATGTGGTAACCTCCTTCAACATAGGCTTCCCACTCCATCACCAACAAAGTAATTTCTCATCTACTAAATAAAGCCCAGCTGCTAATGACATGACTGACAATAATCACACACATTTCTTATTGTGTAGGCATAATTCAGGGAGGTACACTGCAAACAGAAACTGGAAGCTATTCCTCTAAACAAATCTGTTGAATGCCAGTGATGATAATTATTAGTGATTACTCACTGATTGTTAGTGTGTTCTAGATTTAGACATTCCAAGAGAGGGACAGCGTGGCAGTTTTTCACATGGATATGAGGGCTAAATTTTTTATTTTAAGTTCTAACAATAACTCTTTGTAAGGAAAAAAACTAGTATTCAGTAACTGAAAGTTTTATACTTATTTTTCAGGCATATTTCAAGTTGAAAATAAATCGAATTCTAGAAGGCAGAGAAAGAAGTGTTGCCTAAAACCTGTTAAAATAAAAGATGCCAGATAAAAGATGAAATCATCTTTCTGGTAGAAGAGATTTAGACTAGGTCAAAGGAAAGTGGAAGTTCTTATAACTCATTTGCACTCTGGAAGCAATGCTGCATGAGGTTTCTGAAAGAAATCAGATCTTTTGTGAGACCAGATGGCACAGCTGGAAAAAAATGACAAGCTTTCAAGCAAACAGAGCATTCGTGAACTGATAACACAGAGTAGCAAACTCACACCTAACTACAGAACAATACTGCAGGTGTTCGTAAATTGATCTCTCAAACCTGTTTGTAAAAGACTGATTAATCCTCACCTCTATAGTTCTCTTTTCAGAGGGTTTGAGCCCTCATCCAAATCTTATAAATTGAGTTTCTAGTACTGAGAGAAGAAAGCATTTACTTGGAACCTGAAAGGCTGTTCCTGTGAACCATTTGAAAACTGTTTTTAATTCTTGTGGGTTTTGTTGCAGTTTTCTTGCATTCTTTTCATCTGGAACACAGAACTGATCTTACTGTGTGACTAGAGCAGCATTACTGTCAATGAAAGGGGGAGAAGAGGAATGCATGAGAAGAAGCACTGCAGCTTTAGATCACTGTTAGGCCTCAAGGGAGGCCTAATGAGGCAAAGAATTCGAGGAGAGCATTCTCTGTGTCCTTCTTTTCATTGATCATGCAAGTAAACTCTATAGATGTGAGAGAAAATTTTGAATATTTAAATGGTGGGTTGAAAAGTTGTTCAATTGCTGACAAATGGAAATTTGCAAACTTATGTGATCCTTCAATTAGTAAGATTTTCAACAAGTAATAAAATTTAATAAATATCTCTTATTATGCAAATAAATCTACATTCTGTTAAATGGACAGTTTCAGCTGATGGAATTCTTTGAGAGTTACTGTATATAAGTGGACACTCTGAGATAAACAGAACAGTATGAAGAGGAATATGGTTGCAGATGGTTTGTGTTCTCAGAGAATGACTCTAATTTGGTCCTCAAAATACTGTTCTCCCTGGCTGGATTTGTATTGTATGGCTCACAGGATGTCTGCTGTTCACATTCCCAGTGTCAACATGCCCTCTGTCCAGCAGCTGGCAGAACCCGGCTCTGTGTCACATAGAACTTCTTAATTGATGATGCTTTCCATGTCCTCCTCTGAGCAATGGACCAATCCAGCAACACAAGGGGAAAGAACAAATAAACCACTGCCGTTTGGTCAACTTCTTCTCTGCACTCTCCTGTGTTTCCCACTATGTAAAAGAATAACTTGGTGCTGCAGAAACCTCAGATGATGGCATCCTATTTGTGTGGCCACTGCATGGAGTGACTCATACAAAGTAAATGAATTGGTGCAATCTTATCTGTCCTAGGACTTTAAGGTATGGGGACACAGGTTTAAATACTACTGCTGCTCCCTAGGAGACATTTGGTTAGTATTACCTACTAAGGCTGGTGCTGTGGTTTGACTGACCCAGGGAGAGACTGGGGATAGAAGAAGACAGTCTCTGTGGTTCTCCTCGCCTTGCACGCCACAGCTCTCAGTGAGAGTAATATGCAGTTATAAGCCAAGACTAATCTGGGGATAAGTCCTTTGACCTTTGTAGGTTGTGCAGCTGTACACAGACCTATTACAGGCAGGTAGTGTATATATATTCTAGGTAATTACATGGTCTTATGGGGTTATGCAAATACTATGAGAGTATCAAACCTAATGACACCCTGCCTATTCAAGCTAGTCTTGTTATCTCATATTATAGGACTGTGGCATGGAAAGACTGGGTAGCCAGCACAGTCAGTATGTACAAGGGCAGGCAGTAGAACTAGTTACTCAAGCTTAATGTTAGTATTCTACCTTCTGTCTTGTCCTTTCTATTTATCTGTCCTTTTATGTGGCTACATCCCAGTGCTCTACCTTATTTTCTATGATCGATTACCTTGCACAGTGGCTCAAGCAGGCATAAAATCTTGTGATCATGTGTGCCATGACATTGAATTTCTTATTCCATCTTTATAAGAAAAATTTGAAACCTAAATCTGCAGCCCTTATGTGCACTCAGTAAAGAACCATGATCACACACCATTCTTAAGCTTCAACTTGCTACATCTACAATGTATTTTAATTCAAAATTGCCTAATCAAGAAGATTTTATTTTAAGGACTACAAATATATGCCATTCTGCTGAAAAATCTTTGCTTCAGTGGGAAATAGAAAGCCCACAAATACATGCTCGGCTTCTCAGCATGACCTAGGTGTGGCTCACAGCCATCTGTGTTTACAGTAAGAGATCGCCCACATGCATTAGTCTGTAAACAGTACCAAAGCCCCAAAGTTTTCTTTTTTTCTCTTTCACTCTCCATATATTGCATTCTCAGGGTGCCTCCATATAGATATAACTGTCTGCAAAGATACTTTTTTTTTCTGCAGTCTAGCAGTTCTCTGAGCTAGTGCTTTGAAGATGCCTTTGTATTACTGGTAGATGAAAAGATTGCTAGTTTGTTTTCTTATTTCTTACAAATCCTTCCTGGTCCTCTAGCAGTGGTTGCATATTCAGACAGCCAGTAGATACTCAAGACCTAGTCAAAATAAACAAGGAAAAATGTCATACCCATTAATTTCCCCAGTGTGTGAGGGGTGCTGGGGGCACCTCCATTTGGCATTTGGGAACTCTATTTTTCTCCATGTCAGCTGACTTCAGACTGTCAGCAGTCTTATTATCTCAGCAGTCTTTCTCATCAGTGCTAGTGTCAGGAAGAGCCACAACATGTTGCAACTCCATTATGTGTCTGCTAGACTACATATATATTTGTGAATGTGATTATGCAAAAAGTCTTAAACCTCAAGATTTCCCATAAATGTCATTGACAAAGGACGAAATTCAGATCAAATTAGGTCTCAGTATTTTTTACAAGATGTTATTAAAGAGTGCACTCATATTTCAGGTATCAAACAAGAACACATTTTTGGAACGTGTAAAGCACAGCTGTTCTTACCATTTTATGACCTCCATGACAAGAAAATCCTCACGTGCTTATCTGTGTTCATCAAAGACATGTTGCCCACATCTAACAGAGGTAAATTTGCTCAGCAGAGAAGGAAGTTCCATGGTTGCCACAAAGATGAAGACATTCCAGCATATGGTTGCATCATAGAATTGATGGCCATGTGCAGCTTCTGAAGCGTTCTTGGGATTGTCCTGCATTCCTATTCACTGCAAAACCACTGCCACTGCCAGAGGGAGAGAACGTGAATTGTTGCTGCCGTGGAAGAAGCCAAGGCATTTGGTGAGAGGTAGTCTGAACAAAAAACATCTCTGTGACAAGTGTTTGCAAACACATGCTATGCGTGCTAGCGTGGGGAGCACCTCACTGATTGCTGTTAGCCTCTTTCCCCTTTTTTTCTAAAGTCCTGGGGAGTCTGTTGCCTGCCTGACACATGCTTTTGTGACTTCCTTGAACTGGTAAGTAGAATGTAATTGTTCTTCTTAAGCATAACTATTTCTTGTCCCCTGAGTTTACTGAGAATAAAGCATTATGAACCTGATGAAATATGAGAACCACTTAGACATTAACTGAAGTTTGGTTAAATAAATCAAATATGCCAAAAATTTTGGGCAGATACAAGGACACACGAGAGACAAACAGACGGATAAACAGACAGGATAGATACAGGCCTGTCAGCCTGGCCTTGGTTCCCCGCAAGGTTATGAAGCAGATCATCTTGAGTGCAATGACATGGGACATACACGGGGTCAGCATGGGTTTAGGTCCTGTCTGACCAACCTGACCTTCTTTTATGATCAGGTGACCTGCCTGGCGGATGGGGGAAGGCTGTGGATGTGGTCTATCTGGACTTCAGCAAAGCTTTTGACACCGTCTCCCACAGCATTCTCCTGGAAAAGCTGGCAGCCCACGGCTTGGACAGGGGCACTCTGTGCTGGGTTAGGAACTGGCTGGAGGGCCAGGTCCAGAGAGTGGTGGTGAACAGTGCTGCATCCAGTTGTCATCTGCTCATCAGTGGTGTCCCCGAGGGATCAGTGTTGGGCCCAGTCCTGTTTAATATCTTTATTGATGATCTGGATGAGGGGACTGAGTCCACCATTAGCAAATTTGCAGATGACACCAAGTTGGGGGGGAGCATCGATCAGCTGGAAGGCAGGAGGGCTCTGCAGAGGGACCTGGACAGACTGGAGAGTTGGGCTGATTCTAATAGGATGAGGTTCACCAAGGCCAAGTGCAGGGTCCTGCACTTTGGCCACAACAACCCCATGCAGCGCTACAGGCTGGGGAAAGAATGGCTGGAAAGCTGTCCGTCAGCAGAGGACCTTGGGGTGCTGGTCAACAGCTGGCTGAGCATGGGCCAGCAGTGTGCCCAGGTGGACAAGAATGCCACTGGCATTGTGGCTTGTGTCAGAAATAGTGTGGCCAGCAGGACCAGGGGAGTGATTCTTTGCCTGTCCTTGACACTGCTGTGTCGAGCTCTAGGCTGCACCTAGAGGGCCGTGTCCACTTCTGGGCCACTCAGTTCAGGAAGGATATTTGAGGTGCTGGAGCAGGTCCAGAGAAGGGCAACAAAGCTGGTGAAGAGTCTGGAGAACAAGTCCTATGAGGAGCAGCTGAAGGAGCTGGGGTTGTTTAGGCTGGAGAAAAGGAGGCTCAGTGGTGATCTTATCATTCTCTACAATTACCTGAAAGGAGGTTGTAGCCAGGTGGGGGTCGGTCTTTTCTCCCAGGCAACCAGCAGTAGGACAAGAGGACAGAGTCTTAAGCTGCACCAGGGGAGGTTTAGGTTAGATATTAGGAAGAAATTCTTCCCAGAAAGGGTGATTAGACAGTGGAATGGGCTGCCCAGTGGAGTCACTGTCCCTAGCGGTGTCTAAGGAAATGCTGGATGTGGCACTTCATGCCATAGTCTAGTTGGCATGGTGGTGTTCAGTCATAGATCAGACTGAATGATCTGAGAGGTCTTTTCCAACCTAATTGATTCTGTGATTCTGTGCTTTAGTGTGATTCTGTGATAGACAGACAGGATAGAGAGGAGGACACATCAGATACATTAATATAAGCAAATCATTGCAAGAAATCTCTGACAATTTACAACATTTTAGGAAACAATAACTTGTGCCATGCAGAATGAGAAGTTGCTTGTCCTACTGGCCTTCACCAGAAAATTGCTTTGCAGTTTCAACAACTGAGAGTATCCGTATGGGTAGTCCTGTGTAACAACTAACTAACAGTGTGCATTCATATCTCATGGTATCTTGTCCATGCACCCACATTCTGAGAATGAGTTCACGCTTCACGTAACTGGAGTTGAAAAGGCCCATTCTAGCTTAGTCACATGATGCTGAAGTGTTTCTCTGAGTGAGCACACTGAAGACAATACTGAATTTTAAAAATCCAAAAGTAACATCAGGATTTTTAAAAGTGAGAAATGAGACTGGAGCAGCTCATACAAAGCTGGAAAGTATTCTAAACTTTACCTTCTAAATGAAATAAAAATGTTCCTCAGTTAAAAACTAGTTTTGAAAGCATTTTTAGTTAATCAATAGAGAAGCTAGAAACAGGCAAAATATTATCTTGTCTATTCACAAGTTATATTCCACTGCAACACAGAAAACCAAAAGTGATATGTCCTCTTAGAAAATCTCCTTGTTCAATAAAAATAGTTTTGTGGTTTTGTATGGAAACTATAAATACTATGAAAAGCCTGAGCTGTTTCTTTATTAGTGTAAGCCTTAATTTTCTTACAAAGAACCTGTTCTTTGCATAACTGACAGGAATACCAAATCACCTTGTCCCCAAAAGGATCTCATATCTCGGTATGACTTGGACAAGAACAAAGTAATGTATTTCTTTTGGGGGGGGAGCAGAATACCTCTGTGTCCCAGCCCATCTATTTCTCAGAAGAAAGCTTCTCCTCACATCTTTCTGTAAATCAAACTTGGGGCACTCAGAAAACATTTTCTTTATAGCTTGTATACAGTCTATTAATCCCTGACTACATGCTCTTCAACATTTGCTATTTTGCTTGTGCATAAACAGAAATTTTCTTTTGGTTATTTGTGGCTAGTAATGGAAATGATCATTCAGGAAATATCTACACTTTGTTTGATGTTATGACATCTCCCGGATTTGTGCCGCACAGTGCTGAGGATTTTAATCAAATCAGAATTACTTGAGAGAATTTATCTTCATCACAAACAGAAGCATACATGTGAAGTCCATCTATCCAGGAGAAATTTTAGTGGTTTTATGGTTTTCCAAATCAAAGCAAATGTATACCCATAATACACTGATTTCCCCATCAGGGTCTGCCTGTGGCCTATACTCAGCATACAGCTAAAACAAATATTTTCACGAAGAGCATAGCTGCAGGAGTGATTTCTACAAGATGTATTAGCTCATTTCTCTCAAAACCCCAAAATTAGCTACAAAAAGACTGTAAATTCAGTAGATGCTTTTTCTGCATAGTCCTCCACAAATCCGCTTATCCTCGGATCATTTTGTGAAGTATTTATCTTTGTTTCTCAGTTCTTTCAGATCTTTTGCCAAATCATTGGACAAGTGAACTGCCACAAAGTACTATGTGAATGCTTTAATACAGAATGGATATTTTCAACTCTAATAGAGGAACACTGGAAAACTACTGCATGGAAGCATGTTAGTTTAGGCATGGTATCATACTAACATGCTTACTGGGCTTTTGATTTAGTTAGATCAGATACAATTAGCACAACATGTAGACAAGGCAAGCTTGGGTTTATCTGTAACTGTCCATACTCTAAATCTGTTTATTAAATTTTAACTAACAAAGTAAATAATAACATTTTAAAGAAATCTGTTATCTAAGTCTTTCAGTTTTAGGACTTCTTAAATAACAGGTGGCTTGAATGAACTGATTAAATAATGGAGGTAGGTAAAATCGAAAGTAAAATCAAGAAACAGAATATTTGAAACCTAGAGTTCTTGCACTTCAGTCATTAACAAATACTGTTCACTCTAATAAATATTAGTAGGAGAATACAACATCTCACGTTATTCTTAACATATGTCACTGTCTCCATTGACTAATGTGGAATTTTAAAGCCAGAACTTATATTCAAGCGTCAAGAGCTCTTACTAATACACTGGCCAAATGCCATGATGTACTGAACAAGGTTTATGTTTTTAGATGAGAAACCTTAGGCTTTTCTCAGATAAATCTATGCATTTAGCTACAAAGCATAGAGACAGTTTCTAGCCAGTCTGCAGCAGAATCTCATCACTGAACAGAGGGACATAGACCTGCCATACAGTAGGAGCTTTTGAACACAGCAGCCTACATGACAAGAAGAAGGAATCACATGGTTTTTTGTAGGTCTTTGTTTTTTAGAAAAAGTATTTTTAACATGGATAATACACCAATTAAGAGGAGTTAAAATACAAGTACGTAAATAAATAAATCAGTAAAAGTATTTTCCAACAGTGTGAAGGGAAGGCATTTGGGTACAATTTAGCAATTGTAAAATGCTGTCTTATTATTAAGTCGTAGGATCCTCACTCAGAGAGGAGGGAGGATCCATTTTTTTTGTGGGAACAAGAACATTGATTTGTATATGCGACATTTTGGGTTTGGTTTCAGGGATATTTTTTTTTTTTTGGTGGGGGAAAGGAAGGGATTGCATTCAGTCATTTTTATTCCCTGATGACTTCGACACACAGCAACCATCTGTTCAGCTAGTTCAATCCCAAACATGTTTTCAGAGCAATGAAAAAAATAACAAAATGAATAGACAAAAGATGTAACATATTTTCTGGCAAACCTATCTTTGAAAACTTTTGTTACTAAGGCAAAGAACATTTCTGTAAGGTGAAGTTACAGATTTTACCTTTGCTTTTCTGGTACAAATAGTACAGTTTGTAATGAAAAAGCACGTGGAAAGGATTCAGCTACATAAACAATATAATTTCAAGGGTGCCGTTAGCTCTAGTTATTAGAGTGTAGCGTGGCGGTACTTTACATGGTAAAGAAGGAAGCACGCTCCTCGCGAGGTGGTGAACAAAGAGGTTTATTTCAAATTCGGCGCTGGTTTTATCCCTTC